AAATAGTTGTTGAGTTATTTAAATTTAAAAATTAAAAAAATTTCACTAAAAATGATTTGTCCCTTTTCTATTGACTTAACCCATATATTCATCCAAAAATCAAATAAAAAATTTTTGAAAAATTGTTAAAACCCCTTTTTAATACATATAAGACACCTCATATTGTTTTTATAAAACTTAGATAAACTTTGAACACTTGGACGGTTGAACTTTGGACATGTCAAAAAAGGCCTTGAACATCAAAAACGTACATTCTTGCAGTCGAGTAATGTCAAACTTAGTAAATTAAGATAATATTTGTATGATTTAAAATGCAATAAGAATAAGTGACAAGACTGCCTAAAAGAAAAAAAAACATTGTAATAATACTTTATATTGAGTAATTATATTAAACTTTGCATTTTTTAAAGGTTTAGTTTATCCAACCGTTTTATAATTTAAATGTCAATTCAAAACAAGGCCGAAACTTTTTTTAATTATATATACATAATATAAGAGTGCAAATTTATAAATACTACATATACAGTATATATATTTATTTATTTAGGATTTACGTTAAATATTATATATTATAAATGCTATAAATAAATACAGTGTCAACGATATATAAACAGTATGAATGCGCATCCTAATTGGACTCGTTTTTCGTTTTTTTTCGCTTCGAAAGAAGAGAGCAGCAACTAATAAAACAAACTTGAGTAAAAACCAGTCGTTTTACAATAACAACGCACATACACCAGCAGTACGAAACCAACATAAGTGTTCTCAGACGCATCTTGTCTGAAGTTAACCATTAATTGAAACCGATGAGTAGTCAATATAGTCGTTCAGTGATTCCGATCAAAATGGCGGATATAAATATATTTGACCAATCATACGTGTGGCTTTCACTTTACTTTTTTCTCAACCTCGGTCTGACATTGTATAACAAGGCAGTGATGCAACTATTTGATTTCCCATTTCCATGGACATTAACGGGTGTGCACGCATTATGCGGAGCGATTGGCTCTTACTTATTTTATTGGCTAGGAATATTTTCACCGGCACGGCTAAGTGAGCGAGAAAGTATGGTGATGCTTTTGTTTTCGGTTTTGTATACCATAAACATTGCTATCAGTAATGTATCCCTGTAAGTAAAAGTTTTATTGAATTGATAACCACCTTTGTCCGTTTGAATCATGGGATATAAAGCAATTAATGAATTGTCATGGCATAAGTGGAAAAGGAAAAGGGACTTTATTCAGCTAATTTTATTCATATCGCTTGTTTAATATGTGTATTTTTATGCTGATAATTCAAAAAGACATTTGGTTACGGTACCGGTAAGATATTGTTATTATTATCTTGGTTATTAAATGATATTTAATGATTTTTTTTTTCTTCCTGATTGACAATTAGTAACTCTTGTCATAAATACTGATCAAAGTTTTAAATCAATAGTTTCATCAAGTTGTGCGAGCGATGACACCAATTTTTACGATCGTACTTTCAATTGCTTTTTTAAAAAAGCAATTCACGACTATGACATATATCTCTTTGCTACCGGTGAGAGATTAATTTAATTAAACTAGGTTAAATTAAATTAAAATTAAATTAATGATATATTTCATAGGTTGTATTGGGAGTTGTATTTGCGACTGTAGGAGATTATTATTTCACTACAATGGGTATACATATATTTATTTAGTATTCAGTATTTCTTTAAGTAGTTGTATTGATTTTTAATATTTAATTAATATATATATATTTATGTATGTTTATACAGGATTCTTTTTAACTGTTCTTGGTACAATATTGGCCGCCTTGAAGACAGTTGTCACAAACAGGGTTCAAGTTGGTCGGCTTAAGCTTCACCCTTTAGATCTATTATTGCGCATGTCACCTTTAGCATTCGTTCAAACTGTAATTTATGCTTATGTTACCGGGGAATTGCAGCGAGTTCGTGTCTTTAGTCGGACGGAAATGACTGCGTCTTTGGTTTTTGCACTTATTACAAATGGTGTTATCGCCTTCTTTCTTAACGTTGTAAGTTTCACAGCAAATAAAAAGACATCAGCTTTAACCATGACTGTGGCTGGTAATGTAAAACAAGTGCTATCTATTATTCTGGCTGTCGTGATATTTAATTTAACAATAACGCCGACAAATGGGCTTGGAATTTTTCTGACTTTATTGGGAGGTTAGGTTATTTTATTTTATCTTAGTTTACATGATTTGGTTCAATAATTAATAACTAATTTGTATAATAAATCGATACAATGTAGGCACATGGTACGCGTAAGTATTGACATCGTATAAATAACTGCTTTGCCGAATATTCTAATTAATAAACATATTTATTTTGAAATTAATAGCAGAATCGAATTGTCCGAACGTAATCGAGCAGCAGTCCGAATCCTAACCGAGAAGCCACCCCTAGGCTAATTATATATTGAAATCATATGATTATATTTTCACGTGAATTGTCGTTAACCGACATATTTGGTCCAGGTACGATGAAGCAGGTGGTTAGATTATCGAAAATGCGATGTAATAATGTGTAATAGTTGCAATAGTTATAATAAGTGAAAGGGTAATTTGTAAAACAAGTTTCGTGCAAGCTTAATAAAAAAAAAACCATATTTCATTGTTCGTGATTTTCGTTTCTCTGTAAACAAATAATCTAATCGAGTAAGATATTTGGGGATTTGGTCGAAATCCCGATAAACAGAATCCGAGAGGCAAAATTCCGAAGAGAATCGACCGAAACAATTACAGGTAACCCTCGTTAATATCGACCCCATTAATAACAACCTAAGCCACGAGACAAATTTTTATAAATTTATATATATCAAATTCCCTCATATATATCAACTTTAATATTAATATCATTATCAGCATAATTTAAGACAAATTCAAATGGGTTGATATTAACGAGGGTGACCTATATTAACAAACATAAACCAAATGCAGGCTAACTTGTCGAGATTCTGTTTGTCCGGACTTTGATTGGCTCTTAATTTTAGGTTTATTAAATATCATTTTAAACCTGCGATATTTAGTAAAAAGTAAATCAAATTCCAAATTTAAAATTCTTGTTGCACATCCCGGTTAATCATGGAGAGGAAAAGATGATGTGATCCAAATTAGTGTAAGGTGGTTGTGTTCACATACAAGACCAGGTTGTGAGTACGGAAGTTGGCAAGAGCAATTGAGATATGTCTATTTTTCTAAAATGGAGTTGTTAATGATTAAAATTTTGTCAGAGACGAGAAGAGATGAATGTTTCACATGGCACGTGAGTGTCAGAATCGCGTGTGAAGCATTCAAGCATTACGCCTCGTTGAACTACTGGAAGATCTTTAAGTTAATATGCTTGATGTCGATGAATTACGTATTTGATTTTGATTTAGGGGCCTGAAAAAATATATTAATTAGACATACCAAAGCCAATTACCTGTGACATAACGAAATTCTAATCAATCTACTTAAATTTTTCATGGGTCAAATAGTTTGGATATAACATAAATTTGCGTAATATTATTTGTTTAATCGTGTTGTCTGTGAGGAATGAAAATTTTTAGACTTCAATTGCAAGAAAAATTTCGAAATTAAATTTATATTTATTTTTCCTGATAAAAGATGTACTAAAATTAAGGTAGCTGAATACGTTAACAAGTTTCATATCATATAAGCTTGTTTCAATTTGGATTGGTATGTTTAACATAGACATTTATGGTTAATTTCGTAATTTTGGCTTTTACTTAATGGTAAAATTTAATAATTCTTTTTCTTTTTAAAGACTACGTATGCTTACAATATAATTTACTTTTTAGCAGAAAATTATATAATTTGATTCGTTATTTTTTTATTTATAATTATTATTTTGGTGTGGTGGCTTTAGCATTACGTATCGGCATACATTTAGAATAAAGCCAGTCTGTTACTTGTGGTGCGTTATCATTTTATCAACCCACTAACCAATAACTAATATGCGTACTAATAAAGTTTATTTTCATTAGTATTGGTGGGTTTAGTGTTACAAATCGTCAGTTGATTGCAGCTAATCGATTAGTTGCAACAAATTCATTAAGTAAATAAATAAATTTTCAATCAATTCTTTGCAACTAATCAATTAATTCTTTAGGGATTAGTTGCAATTAATCGATTAGTCGATTAGTGGTGTCTAAAAAGTTCAGTCGATTAGTTGTCAACTAACCAACTAATCGATTTCGATTTGTATCACTGGGTGGATTCATTCTCCTGCTGCTGCACCTGAAGACGGACCATCAATTGTTTTAAAAAAACATCTAGGTTTTTATTTATCTATGTTCATTTAAATGGACTGTTGACTAGCAAAATCGTTGTACTTTAGTGTATTGACTAAAATATCCCATTTTTCAGTATCCTGAGTATTTTTATATTTTTTTTATCGGGGATATTACCCGGGTATTTTGCACGGCACTTTTCATATTGCATTACATATCGTAATGCACTGGCTAAAAACTCGGGCCTAAAAGTTCGATGACGGCTATGTACAGTATATGTAATACAGAAATCGATATGAAACATGTAATGCAAGTAGGGTTCTTGACATGCCATGACTAATACTGTATATATATATATATATAACAACTGTACGATTAAATCTACACTCTTCAAAAACAAATAAATTGTTCGATGTATCCAGGCGTCATTTTAACCAGAAGCATTTCGTATTAAATATATCGGGTGTTCCAAAAGTTTATATGCATCGTCTCTATTTTTTAAGTAACCTTATATATAGAGATCACGATTATTATTTATGCAAAAGTGGTACGTATCTACAATTTAGTATTGTAAGGATCTTAAAGATATGTATATTTAACAAGTTGATTAACAACACACAAGCAATTAATTGGATAATTTTAAACAAAAAACTTACTGGAAGTTTTTTTTTTCTCTTTGGCAATTTTGTCATCAATCTTCATTAAGATTTATATTTACTAATTTGTATATACATACTTTGACCTTAATTTTTGGTTTAACATCTTTTGATTACTTTTATAAATGATCTGTCACATTTATACTTGCTGCCCAAATCCCAAACTATTATAGTTTGGGTTTGTCTGCACCCAAATCCCAAACTCAAGCCCAAACTAATATCTTAAAAACTTTATTAATAATCTTTTTTTTTGGTATTAAGGTGACCTTTTTGGTATTTTGACTTTATTGGATAACATAATTTTATAGGAACTACTACAAGAAGAGTATACAACTGGTTACACATATAATTTCTCTATATTACTGATTTAAAGAGTCTATCCAAGAGTTTTTCATCAGTTACTGTATTTAACACCTTTGCTTGAGTGTTCTATTTAAATCCTCTAAACCTATAACTTATATTAACTTTATTGAATTATTTCAGATCTTTATTTTAATCTTAGAACTAATTTATTTTTAAGATAAACCTTCTGGAGTCTTCTGTATTCTTATTTACAGCTAACCTGGACTTACTATAGTTAAATCAACATTTGCAGTTAAAGTTAATTGTTAAACTGTTATATTTTTGTAGAGATTATACAACCTTAGTACATATTTTTACAATCTTACTAGTGTTTTGTTTATCCTTATAAGTTTTTTTATACTACTAATTCAGTAAGTTTTGCATAATGTAATTTTATGTTCAGATCAATTAGTAGTCAGGTTGGTGAATTTCTTTTATTTAGAGATTTTTGCTTATACAAGTTATTTGTTTCAGATTTCTTTTTTTGAATCAAAATTTTCACAGATAATACTATCAAAAATTGTATTACTTTTTTACTTAAAATTTTTAAACAAACTTCTTATAGAGTATATATTTTTCAGATTTATTTGTATGATGTTGTATATTCTTAAAGTTAGTTTTGATATAATTAGAATAACAAGATTACAATCTTAAATTTCTTGTTCAAATTACCAAAATAGAATTACTTTTCAAACTTTTATCATCAGTAGAATTTAAATTCTAAATCTATTGTTTAGAAAATGATAACCTAACTATTACACAATAATTATAATCCTTTTTTATTAATAATCTTTATTTAAACAAATAATATATTTTTATAGTTATATATAATATATTTATAAAATATTAAAATTATTTTATTAATTTAATTTTTTATAAAAGCAATTTGGTTTTTTAAAGTTTAGAATTTGTTCAGATTTTGTTATTAAGTATAGTCATATTAGTCACATAATACAAAAATATTATAGTAATTTGAAAGTTTATTTAATTACTATTTTACAATAAAATTTTATCAATCTAATAATATTTTTTTATAAAAAAATATTATTAAAGAAAAATTTTTTAAATATTTTAAAATTTTTAAAAAAAATTATAAATATATTTTTAATTATTTTAGACAAATTTATTTAAAAAAGTTTACAAATTAATAAATAATACTATAATATTTTTTGGAATAGTTAGTAAATTGTTAACCTTTCAATAACAGATTTAGTGTTCAAATCTTATTTATAATGAAATTTAAAAAATTATATTTGTATTATAGTAAATTATTTTTTAATAATTAGTTAGATTAATATATTTATAATTTTAAATATATCAGTTTAAATAAAAGTTTGAAACATTTATATAAAATATAATCATCTAATTATTATCAACTCTCCCCAACGATCACTTGTACCGAATTTCACACCAACAAAAACAGAAAACTTATTGGAGAAAGTAGAAGAGGCTACTATACAA